AAAATATTTTGTATTACAGTATTTTGAAAATATTAAGTAAAGAAAATATTTTTCTAGTAGAGCGTGTGAAGCACGCTCCAACAATGGCCCAGTAAGCTCCACATGCAAGAGACATGTTTGGAGCACTACAAGCCAATGCCAGAAAAACCTTTGTCATAAAAGGTACCATTACCATGTGCATGCGACACTAATTAGTAAATATTAAAATTTAGATTTTAATTTAAGTTAAAATCAATAATTAATTTTAATTATATATTTTATGTGATTCATAACTTTTTAATCATATATTTCATTAATTTTTATCAAAATTAACTTAATTTATTCCCCATCAAACAGTTCTCTAGAGCCTGTTTGATAGAGATTAAAATCGGATTAAAATTAAAAAATTAGTCGTTATTTTTTACTTTTATTAAACGAGTGGGGCCCAATAACGGCTATATTTTCAATTTTAATTGGATTTTAATTGGTACCAAACGGGCCCCTAATGTTTTGTTGATTTTCATATTTACGCTCTAAATTCTTCATGTAGCATTCTTATTCCTAACCTTCAATTAATTAGCCTATCTTGACTCTAACAGGTTTCTATCAAAACATTATATATGCTCTCATAACAAGCTTTTGGCCTAAAACCATTAGTAGGAACAAGATATACTAATTCATTATTCATAGAACGTTGATGATAAGAATGTGTTAGAAAATTAGAGATATAAGTGCAAACATAAGCAAAAGTTAAAAGACTTTAATTACGATTAAATGTAGTGTCGTTAACAAAAAATGTTGTGTGAATGTAATTACCATTTTCTAAATCAATCTCAAATCTTATTGTCACTAACAAATAATGATGTTGCCATAGGCATGCCTAGGCCTAGTTTTTTTTTTTTTTTTAACATTTTTTTTTCTTTTGATTATTAAATTATTATTAAATTGATTTAAAATTTTTAAATAATATTAAAATAAGAAAACATTTTTTTACGCTTTATAACGCTTAGGCTTCGCCTAAACTCACCTAGGTCGAACATCGATCTCCACGTTTCGCCACGCTTTACGTTTTTTAGAACACTATCATAAATACATACAATTACATAAACACTAGTATGCGATAGGGTGGCATGGGCTCGGGTTGCTTGACAAGCAGCTCGTGAGAGCTTGACCCATCAACAGCTCAAGTCTGCATCAAACTTAGCTCAAGACGACATCAAGATCGATTTTTAACCAACGAGCTAGGCTTGTGGGATTTGAAAGTCGCAACATGGAGCTGCTTAGCATATATCTTTTTCAAACATTAATTTATAATTTTAACTTCACCTAAGTTCAAAGCATTTAGCCTGCTCCAAAGTCCAGAAAAAGAGAATCGTTGTTTATCTTGTATTTAATTATTTTTTTTAATAATTTTCTGCAAATTCTGTTTTCAAAAGAAAATCGAAGTACACATGAGCCTTGACGTGCAGTTGGTATGGATGATCAATTGTAATTTTTTTTCCATATCATAAATTCCAATTACGACACAAACGGGTATTCAGCACAAAAAAATAAAAAAAATTAATTAATTAATTTTTTTTATTTATTATACCAAAGATTTCCTTAGGAAAAACTCAATATATATATATATAAAAAATGACAAAGAATAAAAATGATAAACGTACACACCTTTTATTCACATTTACTTTCACATTCCTTTCACATAGAGATGACAAAAAAATTCGACAAACCCGATACTCGCGGGGCTCCGCCCCAAATGGGGCGGTGATAACCCGCTTAAACGGGTAACGGGGGCCCCGCCCCGTTAAAATTTATTTTTTTATTTTTTTTATTTTTAATTCAATACTTTAAATGAAAATTTTCATTAGTTCTAATAGAAAATAACAACTAAAATTATTTGTCTAAATCTAATGAACATGGGTAATAAAAAAACATTTAAACGAGGAAAAGACCTACCCCAAGCGCCTTAAACGGGTAAAGAGGCGGGGGGCGATGAGGGCCCCCTTGCCCCATTGCCATCCCTACTCACATAGGGGATGGGGTCGGCAATTTTAAAAATCGCGAGTCTCACCCCCTATGTGAGAGGGATGTGAAAGTGATTGTGAACCAAGTGTGTGGGTAACATTATTCGATAAAGAATGAGTAGATGACACTCGTGCTTGGTTTGTTTTCTAGTACACACACATCAATGAAACTCAATTTCGTATTTATCCTGACATCCCTGTTGGGTTGACCTCCTGTCACAGTCAGCCCTGTCTGCCACGTGTCGTGTTTACATTGGAAGTGCGTGGCTCACATCTTGCCTATAATCATTATTCTAATTTCATGATATTGGGCCCTTTGGGATGTTGAGCCGTCACATATCGTTGTTGGGCCTTGTGTCCAAATCAGAAATTAGTCCAATCTTCGTGTTGTTGCCTGTAGTCCGGAATAAAACGTTCAGAAATTATTATATTATAAAAAAATATAAATAAAGCTAAAAAAAAAAAAGAAGTTTTTTTGCAAAATTTAATCCCAATTTGAGCTCCATATTTTGCGAGTAAAAATTGAAAAAAATATTTTTTTTAAAAAATACGTGATTAAAAATAGAAAAAAAAAAATTAAATTATTTTATTGAAAGAAATTTTTGATAAAAAATAAATTTTAGAAAATTAGATTTAAACAGGGACTTAATAAACTCTTACTTTTTTCACCTTTTAGAATTCATTGAATAAACTATTAATATTAATTTTCACATTGCACTATTCTTGATTGTGACAGCTCTCTTTCATTTTTTGACGTTTTGCTCGATCGAATATACCTTGTTGATGAGATAGTATGGTGCTATTTGGGGACGCAATGGTGAGCTTGAAATTATTGGCGTAGGACCTCATAATTATATAATGTTCAAATATTTGTCCAAATATGTGAAAACACGATAGTGTCAGTTTCGATAAAGTGAACAAATAGCTTTTTTTTTAACGAATACAATATTATTTTTCCGCAACAAGTTGCTCTATGTAGTAATTTTACATCTATATTCTAGTCGAGATATATTGCACTCGACTAGTACTAGTAAAAGTCATTACGGTCGACTTTGTTAATTTACATCATATTTGATGAAATTTAACTAAAGTTAGAATATTCGAACCGAAACAAAAAGAAGTTTACAAACTTTAAAATGTCACCATAAAATCTCGAGTTGATAATGCACAAGTCAAGTATGCACTAGTATCAATTAGTTTGAACCTAATTTCAGCACCATGGATCAAGAGAAAAGTATCTTTTTAACAATTTTTATAAATTTTCATTGCTGAGGAAAAAATTGGAAGAGAAAATACACAAGCAGGCCAAGTGGCCGACACAGACCACTGGGGCATACCAAACACTACCCAGATGAAATATTTTCAGTGCTGGTTTGGGTAAGCTTAAAAGTTGCTAAAAATTTGAGATCAAAATTAACAAAAAATTTTAATCATATATTTCACGAGACTCGTAAATTTTATTAACTTTTCAAGAACACATTTCGTCAACTTATATTAAAATCTGCTAATTTTTTTTTTTCAAACTTTGTCAAACAACCCTTCAGTGTTACCTAGTCATGTCTAACATACTGAACATATCACTAAGATTTACGCAATTTGAATCCAAATCTGAAGTCAATATTATTAATCATAAACCACCAAGCCAAACGAACACCAACGCGAGCCCAGTTACACGATACATGCAAAATCGAGACATCAAATTTATACAGAAAACTCTTTCAAAGCATAGGAGAAAAAACACGAACCATACAAAAATTCTTTTTGGCCATTTCATTCGATATATTACACGTTGTCCTCAAATTAGTACACCCAAATTATAAGAAAGATAGTAGAAGCGAAATCTAAGAATTTGAATACGAGGATTGAACATGACTGCACAAGGTAACATTTCTAATATATACATAACAATAATATCCTTGGATAAAACAAGATTTTGATGGAAAAGAGATGGAATAATCATTTTCCTTGAATCTTTCTTTCTCATCCATATTCATACCGTTCAGGAGGGACTTTTAAATGAATAAACCTAGACAATCTATTGCGAATAAAAATATCTTGATATTCATTAGTAACAATGTTATAAGAACTCTTTTGACTCTAGTACGAGGAGATTACAATGTGTTAGAACCTATAGCAGGAAAAGGACAACAAGAAGGCGAAAATTCTAAGCAATCCACCTTGGCACCATGCTTCCACGAGTTATGGTATGGAGTTTGGTTAGGATTTCACCATGCTACATACCATCAACTGTTCTAAAAAGTGACCATGAGCAAAATATAAGACTTGCCCTATAAATTAAACTCTGCTCTTTCATGTAATAGCTAATGGTCCATTATCTTTGTTTCTTTCATCATCATTTTCTACCTTTTACTGTGCGGTAAGTTTTCATCCTCTATCGGATTGCTTGTTTGGGCCACTAATCCAGAGAAATGGTCAACATCACAACATGTTCTGGCTGAAATCACAATTTTTATGCTGAAAAGCATAAAACGTTCAAATGATAGCCAAACTAGCAATTTAATTTTATATAGATTATTACAGTGGTTCTAGGTCAATCATTTCTAACAATAGTTAAGGCCAGACCAAGTCAATCAGCTTAAAAATTGGATTTTGATACCAGATAAGAAACACATTCTGAGTAATTTGCCTTTCTTGTACACAACTCAATTGCCAGCTATATGTAGCCTTAGATTTCATGAACAATCCAACTCATCCAAATATAAAAAATAATAAATATAAACAGTCTGTTTTCAAGCTGTCAAAATAATATTGCCCTAGATCTATACTTCTAAGCCTAGTCTTCTATTTCTGACAAATATGTTCGTTATATTTATAATTTAACTGTGTTCTGAGGGATAAAATTATGAATTTGAAAAGATGCTTGGAACTTCATAAAGCCTCCCGACAAGACATAAACTATCACCAGCTGGACAAATGTCGAGCATCTCAAGTTCGTAAATTCTTGAATAAATTTTCTAAGAGGTCACAATATTGTTATTACCTTGGATGATGAGGAGAAGAAGGCCGATCTGGTGAAGACCATAGCCCAGATCCCCTATAAAATCTGTATTCCTCAAACACCCATGCTCGGCTCCCCTCATTCAGCTGTGATTGCTCATTTATAACAGAAAAACCTACTGGGCCCAGAGACCAAAACTTTAACTGCTCACCATGAGACTATAAGTCGCATCATGATCAAATGGATACAGCATCAACAAAGGTGGAACAGATGTCCATTAGAACTTTTGAAGGCACTCCACTGGAGTTCATAGCTGGTAAAGGATACATGCCATAAGCCACATTCGGAGATCTCACTGGACCATTCTGTAATTGGTAAGAAGGGGCAAAGTCGTGTCTGTATGAGCTCCATGATCTCTCAGCTTGGTTCTCTCCCAAAGCCAATCGATCAATACTTGAGTTTGATTTCTCAGCTTGGCTGCGGGTTGCGGCCACATGCAGTGGATCATGATTTTGGATTAGCATTCCTGTTCCCCTCTCTATCACCATGGCTATTGTTCCCATCAAATTATACTTCCCCCTTCTAGGACTAGAAAAGTGAAAAGAAGATTATTAAAAATATTAAACTGAGTTTTACAGTGTCAAAAATTTATAATACAACATAAACCAGCTTTCTAGAAGAAAATCACAGCACAGCCTAAGACAACTAAAAACATACAGCCAAGAAAGCGTATTGCACAAAACGTTAAAAAGTAGACCCTTGATCCCAGGACAGAAATCATTTTCCAAATAAATGAATTATCTTGGAAAGCACTTATCCTCAAGACGAAATACCAAACGGCTTCAGTTAATTTACAATCCATTGTTCCTAAAACCCTGCCAACGTTAGGACCTTTTAGGTGATAAAGATTAATAAAGCTTTTTCAAATAAATGAATTATCTTGGAAAGCACTTATCCTCAAGATGAAATAACAAATGGCTTCCGTTAATTTACAACCCTTGTACCTAAAACCCCACTAATGTTTTTAGGTAATAAAGATTAATGAAGCCTTCTTTTCTGCTCCGTGTATGTACTTAAGTTATTGAAAATCAAAGTATGTTATTGCCTAGAGAAAGGGTCAAGGGGCCCAAGTAATATTATTTTACAAAACAGTAGTATGTGTTAGAATTTAGGTGTGACTCGAATTCTTTTTTGAAGATAATTGAGAATTTTAATTAAAGTACACGTTAAGAGAAATTCTAATTGGAATGCTTTTGTGGAATCTAATTCAAGTTTACTTGACAAATTCTAGTTAAAGTTCTATTTGGAAGCCCTATGGGAGTTGGAATTTGTGTTAGATTTCAAGAGATTGAAATTATGAACCAGAGGATTTTCTCGCCGCATTTTCTCTAGCACTGACGCTTGAGTGCCAAAAGCAGAGAAGTTGGCGCCCGCCTTGCCATAGCCAACAGTTCGAGCGGCGGTGTTATTTGGCCCAGGCCCCTTTTTCGAGTTTTAACTAATTTTCTTGCATTCTACTTCAACTACAACTCTACTATTGGGATTTGGACGTCCTCTATTTGTTCTATATATATAACTGGCTCTTCATTATAATTTAGATAAGCTAGAAACATTGTATATGCAAATCTTTGTATTCTCTCCATATTCTAATAAAATCTCCATTCTCTACAAATTATTTCTTTCTTATGATCAATTAGTTCATAGTGCTATAATCTCTTATTTTCTCCAACAATTTGGTATTAGATTAATCCGATATCATCTCCGCTTTTCACAACAAACTGGTATCAGAGTTTTTTGGTTTTGAAATTCTTGGGAAGATCAAAGTTTTGATCAAGTTAATAGCTCAACTCGATTTTTCATGATTGCAATAATTAGTATGATATTCCGCTATTGAATCGCAATACAAAATTCTCTTTGTGACAAGTAAAAATCCAAACAGTATTCGCTCAGATGGATATGGATGACACGTTGTTGGGATTTGACAAGATGCCCACAACTTGGACTCCGGAGGAGAAACAACAGAGGGATCAAAAGGCTCTATCTCAAATACATCTTCATCTTTCAAATAATATTCTTCGAGACATTTTGAAAGAGAAATCAGCCGCTGCATTATGGTTAAAATTGGAGCAATTATGCATGATGAAGAGTCTTACTAGCAAATTGCATTTGAAGCAACGTCTATATTCTCATCGTATAATAGAAGGTACATCTCTTGAGGATCACCTAGCTGCCGTTAAGGAAATCGTCGCTGATTTTGAGACTTTGGAGGTCAAATATAATGAGGAAGATTTGTGATTGATTTTATTGTGTTTATTGCCCGCTTCATACATATCTTTTAGAGACAATTTTAAATAGCCGTGATACTCTCACTATCGAAAAAGTCTATAATACTCTATATTCAAAAGAGAAGATGAAGGATCTTGTAGCATCTAAGGATTATGGAGATGGTCTCATTGTCGATGGTGGTCATTCAAGGGACAAGTCAAAATCTAACTTTAAATTTTGTAATTATTGTAGGGAAATGGGGCACTTGATAAACGATTGTTATATGTTGCAGAATAAATCAAAATTGACTGCAAATCAACAATCAAAAACTTTAGGGGAAGCAACTATTGCAGAAAATCCTAACAGTGTGAAGAGCTTTTACTTATTCTGACTACAACTCCAAACATGACGAGACTTAGATTTTTTATATAGCTTGCACTTTTCATATGACTCTAATTGGGATTTATTTTCAACATATGAAAAAGTTATAAAATGTGCTGTGATGACTGATAATAATACACTTTGTCATATAGCTGGTATTGACAGGGTCAGAATAAAGATATTTGATGGGATGGCTAGAACACTTGATGCAGTGAGACACATTCCAGATCTGAAGAGATCTTATTTCCTTATATACTCTTGATTCAAAAGGGTACAGGTTATATTGTCGAAGATAGAGTCCTAAACCCTTTTTTGTTAAAGGGACATAGAAAACCCCATTTACATATCTTGCAGCGTCATACAGAATCTTTAAGCAATCAGCATGTTTTAAGAACTCTGATGGATTTGGAGTTGAATTCTGTATCGTTGGATGGGGTCTTCTTTAAGGAATACATCTCAGTTAAATTTAGAAGTTATAAGTAAATTCGTCATGCCACCATTATCAACGGTGTCATTATATTCAGTTGCTAGTAATAGACCAATTTTTGACCATAAGACCACATAGGTATAATTCTTCTGATTTAGTTGATGGTTTGAATGCGATTAAAGGTGTTGATTTTAGCCAAGATCCTTCTTTTGATACATTCAGTTATGATTCCATTACATGACTTGTTTCAACCTTATTTGGTGGTCATTATATCACTTTTGCCCCTAGTTGGAGTAGTAGGGATTGGAGAATATATCCAATTGGAAATCTTTGATGGAAAAGTTTTGTTTGTATTTTTCATTGAAGAGTTCAAATTTATTCCTTGCAGTGAAATTTGTCTCCGGTGGAGAATTTTTTCTTTGAAATTTTTTGTTCATTATAGTGGAATTCGTGTCAAGGTAGAGTTTGTTAGAATTAGGGTATGACCCGAATTCTTTGTTAAAGATAATTGACAATTCTAATTAAAGTGCACGTTAAGATGAATTTTAATTGGAATGCTATTGTGGAATCTTATTCAAGTTTACTTGACAAATTCTAGTTGAAGTTCTATTTGGAAACCATATTGGGAATTGAAATTTGTGTTGGACTTGGAGATGCTGAAATTATGGACCGAAGAATTTTCTCGCCGCATTTTCACTAGCTGGGCGCTCGAGCTAACGGATGTATGGATTCTCGAGGTCGTGGTGGTCGTCCCCGGATCGCCTACATACCCCTACGAAAAATTGATTCACATCGGAACGTTTCTGAGGACGAATCCACTTTGAATTTAAATGTGGGATGCTTGTTTAACCTCTGTATTCATCTCCGCAAAAGCGGCGTCCGCCTGGCGCTAGCCGCTTGCTCTCGAGCGACAGTGTTACTCGGCCCAGGCCCGTTTTCCCTTTTTTGACGAGTTTTCTTACATTCCACTTCAACTACAACTCAACTATTAAGGTTTGGACGTCCCCTATTTGTTCCCTATATATAATTGACTCTTCATTATGATTTAGATAAGTTAGAAACATTGTAAAAACAATTATTTGTATTCTTTTTTCATATTATAATAAAATCTCAATTTTCTACAAATTATTTTGTTCTTGTGATTAATTACTTCATATAGTGCTATAATCTCTTATTTTCTCCAACAAACATAAAGTTGCAAGATTTAACCTAATCTTTACTTGTACGTATGAGCTCACATAGTTCCACAGTGATTCTAGAGCTCTTCAGACTCACTGGTCAACATGGACCTCCCAATAGACCTGAGCATTGTGCACGCCAGGCATTTGACTAGTCCAATGCCGTTTTGTTTCCTAGATACAAATGTTTAATGTGTCTTATGGATTAATGGGAGTTGTATTTGGGACGAAAGAGGTGTTGTAAATATTGTAGCAGTACACTTGATTCTTATGTTCATCACTAAATGGTGACTATGTAACCTCATTCGAAAGTTTTTGTATAATAACATATGACTAGTTTCCATATGCCAATAATAACTATGCACAGCATTCACCTTGTAAATTTTTTTAGTTGTCCAGATTTTATCCTATCACATAACTTATTTTTCAAACAAGTTACTATCTACATCGAGTTAAGTACCGTCATGCATGTTGGTTTGTCTGAGTGCATGAACATATGCATGGGAAAAGTGGTTGTGAAGGCGCTAGGCTAGTGGATGACATGAATACAGAACAATCTTTTGTTACAATTTTTATCACATTCCCAGTTTAAGGACAACAAGAAACTCACACTTAAATGTGGGTTTAAGATCTTCCCACGATACAGAAATTTCACTTCAAAAGTTTTCAAATAGCCATGCCGTCATGATTCCAAAATATGCCAAATGCGTGGCAGTCATAGGAAAAGAAAGTCAATACCTTCATCACCCATTTAGATGACAAACACCCCCTTCTATCAGATATGGAAGCAACACCCAAGGCATGTGTTGTCTCTATGTAGAATGCTAACCAAAAGCCTCTTAATGGAATCAGGAATAGATATATTTCCCAGTGTTAGGAATATTGGGCCTAACTCCACCTAATAAAACTGACTTATTAGGGGAGGATTGCCCTCACCTTATTAAGTGGATCATTTATATTTTCCCAAACAATGTGGGATTCTAATACGCCCCCTCACGCACAGCGTGGACCATGCCAAACAACTGTAAATAAATCAATATGTGTTAGAATTTAGGTGTGACTTGAATTCTTTTTTGAAGATAATTGAAAATTTTAATTAAAGTACACGTTAAGAGAAAGTCTAATTGGAATGCTTTTGTGGAATCTAATTCAAGTTTACTTAACAAATTCTAGTTAAAGTTCTATTTGGAAGCCCTATGGGAGTTGGAATTTGTGTTAGATTTCAAAAGATTGAAATTATGAACCAGAGGATTTTCTCGCCTCATTTTCTCTAGCACTGACGCTCGAGTGCCAAAAG